TTTCATTGCATAGTGACCTTGGCACTCAGTTACTGTACCTTCCAATAGCTAACAGTGTAGAGAAAGTTTCATTCAGATAAACCTAAGAGATGACAGTTGTCTTTCTAGAGCTCACCTGACTCAAGTTCTAGACAAATGAATCGCTGGCTATATCAAGGATGCACTATTCCAATGCAAATCTGCTCATGTATGCAGAGGAATACCAGTGTTAACCATTTTAAGAATATTATTTATATCACACTCATTTAATCAGACATAAGAGAACTGACTTGTTTGAAGAGATACTGCCTGAAGTTTTGTACAGGACATCTAAAAAAGGGGGAAAAAAAAAAAAAAAAGAGAGGAGCAGAGAGGAGGGAAACTAGCAAATCCGGGCATTTCACTGGTGGCTCTCCTGCAACACGCCATAAAATTACAGATGTTTGGATCCTTACTGTTGCTACCAATTTTTAATTTGGCAGATTATTTTACAATATATTAGAATGCTTTCCAGAAAGGTCATGCTGAACAAGACACATGGCAGACATATGAATCAGAAAGAGATAGCTGCCTACATTTTCAGAGTTTTACTAATTGTATTAATATGTTTTATGGTTTCCTGAAGATTTAGAAAGGAAGTATGCACACACAGTTGTTATTTAGGTACTTTGTCCCTGACATGAGCAACTCATACTTTGAAAGCTATAGTTAGCTTTAAGATAACAGGTACACATATGCCATTAAAATTCAAATATCTAGGATTAGTCTCACAAGCCACAATCAACTTTCCTGGTAAAATCCATTTTGTTCTAAATACAGAGACATGTTTTTACCAGCCTGTCTCAAATTGTTTAAAAATAGAATCTGGCATGAATGCTAAAAATTCAAGATCTTCAAGCAGTTGTAAGCAACTAAACTAGGAAATAGGATAAGCTTGCTGAAGAAATCCCTGTATACTCTTTTCTAAAAGAGTATACAAAGTTTCCATCAATGAGACACAAAGTATTTCTCATTTGTCTGTAATAGAACTATAGTAACTCTAAAAATTAATAACAATCCACTGTACGCTCATGAAGACCAAAAATGTTACAAGAAAACATTGGGTTAAAACCTTGGGTTAAAACAACCAAATCAAAGCACTGAGCACTAACAGAATTCATAAGAATTCATTTTAGTTCAGCAAACACTTGGACTTCAGTCATCTTTGGTCAGCAAACACTTTGACAAGTCAAAACATTTGTTAAGCCCCACAAAGCATCCCAAATTTACATCTCACTTATGACCTCCAATACCTTAGTATCCTTCTTCCTAATGATAACAATTAACATGAAGAACGAAATAATGGATGAATTGTAACACAAGAAATCAGATTATACACTACACAACTGTAAAGTTGAGAGCATAAGCAAGCACAGTGGACAGTAGTTCAGGTTATAAATTAGAGAGATAGAATTTTTAGACAGATAGAAGCATCATATTTAAACAGCATCAATAGTGTAACTAGATGTTATACTACAGCACAGCTGGGTAGCTCTGAGAGACCAGAGAATGCACAGGCAATCCCACTTCAAGCATTGGAAGCACTGATGTGAAGTTCAAGGTTCCCAAAAGCCAGCGTAAAAACTTCAGCAGGAAAAAAGTGACCTGTTTACATGATGAACTTTCTCTGCTCTTATCATAAATAAAAAGCTAATGGACAGACTCACCCAGAGAAAGTACACTACAAAGTAGTCTTTACAACAGAGATGAAACAAAAAGTGAAAGTTCTTGCAAATTAACAGGTAAAACTTCTTTCTAGAAGTGATACTGTTAAATAAAGAAGTAGTAATGTTAGCATAAAATTGCATTTCAAGAAATCTGAAAAAAGCTGAAAAGCCAAAAATTAGTCAGAGAATTACATGAAAGGATCTTAGAGGGTCCAAAAAATGCGTAAAAGGAGTTAAAAGCTTGGCAATACATTTGCATATATAAGGAAACCACAGGGTTAAAACAGCAAAAAGTGAAAACATCTTTTGGGATCCTGCAGAGAAAAGCAGGGGATGCCAGAAGATTCTTAATCCTTAATGTGGAGATTAAAGAAAATTTATCAAAGCAAAAGTAAAATTATTTATCATCATAGAGACTGAAGTCAACACAGCCTCAGAACTAGGCAAGGTAGGATTATGTTTATTTTAATATACAATACAGTTGTCTCTAGATAGAGGTGATGCCTTGTGTTGGAAATGTGGGGTTTCCATATTCCCTAGTTTAATGGAGAACTCCTCTCCCACTTGGCTTTAGAAATGCAAAGAAAGCAGACAACAATTATTGCACAACTATATGATCAGTAAGAATTATGTTTAAGTAAGTCCTTACTTATGTACTATAAGACAAAAGACACACACACAGCAACATAATGATAAATGTCTTAATAGTACTCTTACTTCTACAAGCAAGCATAGCTTACAGAGTAATCCATATTTTTTCAGCCATCTGTATTTCAAAAGTAGCTAGGCTGCTGATCCTCACTCTCACTCCTGTGGCTTCTCCACAAGCACCTGCTAATGCCCGTGACATTTCCAAATTTCACATCTCATGAAATCTGAGGGAGATAATTCATGACCAGGTGACACACATTTGTTCCTGCACCAAAACTGTCCCTCATCTAACTAAGCTTCAGATAATATTGCAGCAAGTATCTATTACTTCATCTAGCTGTTTAAAACTGATATTCTTCATTTAGAGAGGCCACATCTTGACAATGGATTCTGTCGACTAATGACAAGAAGCCAAACTTTCCAGTAAAGATAATAACAAACACGTTTCCCTCTCTAAGTATCCCCAAACTGTCAAATTTTTCCCTAGTTTTCACTTCAGTATAAATAAAATCAGTGGCACAGCCATCCAGTTCTGTAAATGTCATTTTCAAAGAAGCATCCATGAGTAGCAGTACAAAGTTAAAATACAAAGACATTTTTTACTTAGAACTGATTTGACAGTGTCTCTTATGTGACTTCTGAGAGTAAAAGGTAGAGTTCTATTTCTAAAAAAAATTTAATTCCATTTCTGGTATTTCAGTATATTTGAAGACACCTATATAAACTACAGCTAGAACTATTTCAGACTTAATCTATTCATAAGACTACTGTAAATATTTTGTGATGCAGAAACCTAAAAGCAGATTACTACATTCAAATGCAGGCATTGTCTTGAGTGCACAGATTTTGAGACAAGCTGTTAGCCTCAGTGGTTTCAGAGTTGTGAGCAAGGCCTTGGCAAGAAGCCACATCCTCTCCCAAGAACTGCTGTAAAAGTGAATACTTCTACCAAGTAAGAACTGCCTCAAACTTGAGGTTTTCAGACTTCACAGTCTCGCCATCTCAAAATTATTTCCTCATCTCATTTTCACATCCCTTGTCTGCTGTGAAGACTCTGTTCCTCCAGCTGTTCCTTTATTCACACAGGAGTAATCATCCCTTACCTCCTTCTGCAGCTGCTACAGTGACAACAGCACCAGCTTCATGCTGTAATTGCTATGGTTGTCCAAGGGATTTTAACTAGGAGTGTCTGAAACACTTGTCCAAATTTAAGAGTTTACATCTTAGGAGAGTGCCTAACGTGTTACCAAGATTGCTTCATCCCATCAAAGATATGTTTTAATACAAAGAGATAACATTTTACTCAGACTGCAAACAAAAATCTATGGAATACTTTTTTTATTCAGAGATTCAGCTTACTGATAAATTTATTTTTCCGATGTTGACAAACCTTTAGAGTGATATTTAAAATATTAACAGTATCATGTTCAGTATTCAAAATTATATCAGGGATGCATGTTTTTAATGCATTATAATTGCAAATCTGTATTCAGCATGCTTAACACTGGGTGATAATCAGAACACCTCAAATCCAAGCAATAAGTGTAATTAATACATACTCTACAGCATAGGTTAGCCATTGAAAAACGATTTAGAAATAAAATAAAAACAATACCTCTTCTATGAACATCGCAATATCATCTCTAAACTCTTTGAAGCTTAATTATATTTGAAATCTTTCCCTCTTAATTCATCATGTGATAGGTAAACTAATCCTATATGATTCCTCCTTTAATTAACACTGTTCTCCCTACTATTGCTATATTCAAAGAGGGACAAGATATAATTTCTGAATCACTGCATTTCACCACTGGAGCTCTGTCCACAATAAGCTCGAAATCTAAGAAGCTAAAACACCTAAACATCAATGTCTGATAAGAACACTTCCTCTCTCTAGAGTGGTGTGTATGGTTGCATAGTGACTCCAGAAGTACATACACCTTCTCCTCTTTCATTTCACGCATGTCCTGCTATGCTAAGAAATGCTACTTTCCCTACTTAAATTGTCCACACGCAGCAGTTTATGAATACCCAGATTTGTTAAGGGGTTCTTTACTGGCAGGGTGGGGTGTGTGGAGATCGCTGCCTCATAAAATCTGCTCGCGTTTTCCCGAGATTATTCCCCCTTGCCTCTGTATTTACAGAAAGCACCAGCTCAGATGCTCCATCTACAACAGATAACATAACTTAGATCTAATGACCTGCGTTGCTAATTAGGTCAACCTGAGGAGATACTCCACATCCAAGTTTGGACACAAGAATAAAAGCGACTTGAAATTAGAGCATCCCGGTTCTACCCCCACCTCCCGGAGGAGAGCTCTGAGGGACGGATACCCATGGATGCCGAGGCCTGCCCGGCGCTCACCCCAACCCCTCTGCGGAGCCTCTGAGGGGCGTCCCCGCCGCCCAGGCCCGGCGAGTTTTCCCTCCACGTGAACGCCCTGGATAGGGAGCGGCGGGAATGCAGGGGGCAAAACTCGGCCATCGGCCCCTGTGTCCCCCTCCCCAGCTCCCGCAGCGCCGGAGAAGGGGAGGGGAGGGCGGGAGAGGCGGGAGAAGGCGCAGCACCCCAGCGGCCCGCCTGGGGCTCCGGGTCGCCGCTGGAGCCCCCGCCCCTTCCCCGCAGAGCTACGGCCTCGCTCCCGCGGCAGCGGCGCCGCTCACCTCTCTTGGAGCCGGGGCTGGGGCTGCCGCCAGCGGCTCTGGAGCTCTTGCGCGAAGCCATCGCACCTCCTGTCGGGCCGCGCAGGGGGCGGAGCGGGAGCGGGAGCGCGTAGGGACCCGCGGCCGCCGCCACCCGATCGCGGCGCGCGAGCGCCCTGCGCCCCCGGCAGCGCGGCCCCGAGCGGGCCTGCCCCGCCCCCCCGCCCGCCGACAGCCAATCGCGCCAGAGAGGCGGGGCGACGCTTGCCTTCGATTGGCCGTGGCCCCTAGAGGGGGCGGGGCGATGGCGCTCCGGCTGCGCGCGCCCTGCGCGCTCCCGCGCCACCGCCGGCGCCTTTGAACGTGGCAAACGCGGGCGCGAGCGGCGGCTGCGGCCTCTCGCGAGGGTTCGGGCGCGCGCGCCGCGAGGGGGTGGGGCCGTTCTCGGCAGAGAGGATAGAAAAGGTTGGGAGGTAGAGTTGGATGAGCTGGATGGGATGGTACTTCCTACGGAGACTCCACTCAAAGCATCTCGTCGCGTGTTTTAAACCGCCCTCTGCATCCAGTTAAATGCCCAAATTGTGAGAAACATCATCAATGTGCATAAATATTTAAAGGGGGCGTGGGGGAGTGCCCAGAGAATGGAGCTAGGCTCTTGTCAGAGGTGCCAAGCAATAGGACAAGACGACACAGGCAGAAACTGATGCACAGGAAGTTCCACCTGGACGCAAGGCAGAACTTCTTTGTTGTGCGGGTGAATGAGCCCTGGAACAGATTACCCAGAGAGGTTGTAGAGTCTCCCTCACTGGAGATATTCCAGAACCGTTTGGTTTCGATCCTGTGCCACATGCTCTGAGATGACCCTGCTTGAGCAAGGAGGTTGGATCAGATTACCTGCTGTGGTCCCTTTCAACCTGACCCATCCTGTGACTGATCTGTGGAACAGCTTGTCAAGCCTTCCAGGGAGCTCCTTTGCAATCCGTGTAGTGAAAGGGTTTGAAGTACTTTACATCAGACTTTGAATTCCCCAAAAGGCTTTTTGAGGATTTAAAAATACTTATAATCGCCTGTGACAAAATAAGCCTCTTTTTTGCTGGAGTTCAGGGTGCCTCCTGGTACTCAATGATTCTCATTGAGACTGGATTAAGTAGCAGTTTGGCATAACAGTAAATGCCTGAAACATAAAAGCAAAACCCAACCTTGAGTCCTGACCATAAATACGATGTTTCCGGTAAAAATAAACATTTCGCAAATTGATGCCTTTGCAGGTGGATATGCAGAGAGGGATCCCTTTTTTCCCCAGAACAAAAGTCGGCACTGTGTTTTGGACAGAGTAATGCTATGAAACTAACCAGGGACAGTAATTTACTGAAGAGCATAAGTCACTATTTTTAAATGAGATTTGCATTTACGTGCTTAGTCAAGTAACAGGATGGCAGTGTAGGTACTTAGCCAGTAGAAGTAAAAGCAACTACTTTTGGGAACATCAAAAATAGTCTACTTCCTGGTATCACTCATGTGACTTAATTGGTATCTAGTACAGTTGAATATCTGAACTTTTTGCTTGGTTATGGCACTCTACCAAAGTTTTACTTTCACGTGATGTGTAAGTACTTAATATCTTTTAGATGCTCCGTTTTTGTTTTGTGAGCCTGAAGCTACTGAACAAGCTCAAAAGCTGCTAGGGAGGAGTAGATGTACTCATGACCATGTACAGATTATCATGGAAAGGCTAACAGGATGAATTATTAACATTGTAGCAAATCGGAAAGTACAATGTGAGGAATGAAAGCAAAAAGAAATTATAATCTGTAACTGGGATTACTGGAAATACAATAATTAGTAGAAAATAGCTGTGTGACTATATTCTTGCAAGTAGTAATTACTATCAATTGAGACAACAGCTGTTTGTAGTAATGTGGGGTACAGTTTCCTTAAGTTACACTCTGGGAAGTGGCAGTTTGATAAGAAAACAGATACTGATAACGTTGGAGCCACGGGGTGAACAGTGACACTTAGACAGGTATTGCTAATGTTTTACTCTGAACAAAACTTTTGTTTGTTAATGGACTGTAAAATTCCTTACTTTTGCTTACTTGGGCACACAGGTCCAGTATTCTGTAACTCATGTATTCAGTACCTGCTTGTACACTCTTCTGTCTAAGTTTCTCTTTCAGGATTAAAATATACACACAGAGGTGCAAATGCTCATGCAGTATTGTATCTTTAAGCTGATCACGAGCCTTCTGCATGATTTTGTTATTTGGAGGTTTCTGTTGATCTCCTATAGCATTAGGAAGACTTTTTCCTCCCAATTCACAGATAATGTAAACTGAAGAAGAATGTTAGATAAGACAGACTATTGTCTTCTACTGATTGGAAAATCTTTTTCTTATATTTTTGCCTGATATGTCTGATCATTCACTTAAAATCTGGCCATCATGTGTGGTTTTGGACTAAGCAGCCTTTCAGATAAACTAAGCAGAAGGCAAAAGGCCTGATTTTCCTGCTGTAATCACCTGAGGACAATTCAGGTACAGAGTATGTGATCCACATTGTGTCATTGAAGAAGCTTGGGACAGCTTGCTATTAGTTAATTTAGAGACAGTAACACCTAATTTGATTTAAATTTGCCAGAGTGACTGTTGCAACAAATGATATGACAATCCCTTCTGATCTGAAATACAATGAAAATTGAAGCAAGTATTTAAAATGGTTTTTTTGGGAAAGGTGTCAAAGAGAAAAGCCCACAGTGTGGGTAGGTGAATGTGCATAGCAATGGCTTGTCATTTTTTAATCCGCTCAATTGTTTTAGAGCTATATGTTTGGTACATTGTAAGGGTATGCAGGAAACAACAAAAAGACAAATATTGTCTTTGTTTGTAGGAGGAAAAGAAACAGGGCAGAAAAAGAATGTAACAATGAGAAGGAGCAAGTTTGTAAAGCAAGGACAAAAAAAATGAAAGCCAGAGAAAAAAAAAAAGTAATAAAACCAGAAAATAAGTAATACGTAAAGGCAAGGTGTACGAGACAGACCACACAGTGGTCAGTTGGAGTCTTTCCACTTGTATCAGGCTTTTTAAAACAGAAAAAAAAATTCTTTCTCTTGGCAAGAATCACATTTACCCTCACTCTGAACTGTCCTAACTGACTGTTTGTTGAGACTACAGCAATTTAAATTATGCTGCATATCATAAATCACTGTATTAGAAGAATGCCACCGATTAATGAGCCGTGTTTGGAAAATAAATGCATGTTTTTACTGAGAATTTCATTTCCATAAATACCTTTTCATTAATGTACTCACAGCTGTTTTGCTGTCCTGACTCAGTCAGGCACAGTGACTCCGCTATTTGAAAGAAAGAAATATGTCCAAGGTGATAAGCAGAAGCAGCAATGAAATAATTACACAAAAAGAGGATTCCATCTCTAGTCTCCTAATTTCTAAAAGAATTGAACGTTATAAGAAGGCTTAAAGAGTTCAGTCTTATTCTGTTCATGTTCCTAAGTGATGTTATTCATATGTTGATCATTCTAACTGACTTACAGCTGTCCATTCAATTGCATACATTTCTCATAAATAAATGAGTTTCAATTCATTAATAGGAGAAAGCACATTCTCCAACTAGAGAGGAAAAATAATTTATTACTTAATACATTGAATTGAAAAGAGGTAGGGAATACCCAGGATATAATTAAAATAATATGTCAAAATCTCTAAGATTGTATAAGACTTCCTATTGAAAACTTTGGCATTTAGAGTTTTAAGGTTTTTGATTGCCCAGTTACTATTTTTTTCATGAATGGTGAGTGAACTATGCACCTTGCTAGCTAGTTGGAAAAGGTGTTCCCACCAGCAGGCTGTGTTCAAAAATGTGCCTTGGGTAAATATAGAACAAAGAGAGTGATGAACAGGTTTTGCTGTTAGTTTTCCGGATTATCAAGTTGACACTTGAACTGCTGGTCAGCTTTCTGGTTTCTAACGGGCTTACAGGCAGTACAGAGAGTCAACATCCAGCCATTTGCATTTATCTGCCAAGATTCACCAACCACAGATCAAATGTTTTGGGAAGAGGGGAAGAAAAGAGAAGGCAAAGAGTGTCTCAGTTATCCAAGCCTAAACAACTGCAGTCTGTGTTGGTGTTGCACTTACAGCTAGTTGAATCTACAACAAAGTAAGGTATAGTTTAGTTGGTTGTTCACAAGGAGAAATTTTCTCTTTCTTTCTTTCTTTATTTATTTTAACAGTACTTTTATGTCAACAGACATCAGTTTTAGATTTGTGCATTCTTATATAAACACTGGAATATTTTCTAAATAGCTGGTGATACTGACAAATAGAAAGCAGTCATTTGCTGGAGGAGCATTGAGAAGGATGTAATTATCCTGAGTATAAGATGCACAGAGAAGTTGAGCCAGGTGAAACATGCCAAGTTCAGGCAAAGCTAATGTTGAAGTGAAGTTTGATTTTAAAATTGCTAAGGTAAATTGTAGGCTATTATTAAGTCTAGGTCAAAAGCTTGTTCTCGTTGCTCTCAGCTGATTTGTGTCAACCTCCCCAGTGAGTAACTCAAATAACAATTGGCCTTTGGACTGGTTGTATGACCTAGTAGTCTGGAATTTGTTTCAGTGTTGCTTGAATTCTGCAGGTCTTACTGCAGATTGTGCCAGGTCTGATTCAGGTAAACTGATCCCTGTGAGTGTAATTACAGCTGAGAATGAAGCAAACTTCTCAGAGCAAGATTTTTTCTTCTGATGATTAGATTTTGCATAAACTGTGAAGATTATTTGGAATTTTAGTGGGGCCTTTTGTCACATCCCTATGCAGCAGCAGAGGAAGGTGTGGATTTGTTTCCTAAAGCATGAGATGCTCAGAAAAAAAGAACAAACATTTATTTGTGCACCTGTAACAGTTACTTGTAATCTGAATTCTTAGAAGGACCATCCGAGATAAGCCTTGAAAGATATTTAAACTAGAAGTCACCTTCCAAATGGATTGAGAGCCACTGGTTGAGTTCAAATACTGCAAAACACTGGTTGACTACAGATAAAGATTACAACAAACCAGAAACAGTATTGTTTCAATTGCCTTGGATGAAAATGCAATCCCCATTAGAACGGCAACAAGAGAATGAGGCTTAGTCAGTCATTTCCAGCACATGACATCATACATCTCGAAGA